GGGCGCTCTACATGTTGGTACTTGTAGGCTGTTGGCCTGTAAATTCAACTTATGTACCCAGATTGATCCGTCATCCACTTGGCATTGGCCAATAAGCACCTTGTCAACAGGGCTTGGAGATGCTAGCAATCACAATCATGGTGGAAAAGTTGGATGATAAGTCAAAGATAAAGACCTCATTTTACTGGAGATGGTCATACAAAACCAATACTTGAGGAGGTAAAAGACAAGGTTTTACTGGGTCTTTGGACTTGTAGGGATATGTTCTACTTTTCTCACTGCACTTCTCACCCCACAATCCTACTTGCCAGGATCCCTCTTCCTCACGAGCCGAACATGGCGTTGGGGTGGAGATCATGGTCCAGCTGACAGCGGAGCATGAAGCGTCGTGGCCACGGATCCACGCATGCCTGCAGGAGACGTTGGATGCCTTAGGTGAATGGAATGGTTTCTTGGTTTTTGACTATAGCTGTTGCTCCGGAGGAAGCATCCAGAGCCGGGGGTGTCCATACTTGGCCAGTAAACTATAGGAGCGACAGGGAGTTTCCCAGCACCAACCCCCCTGCTAGTTAAGTCTTCAAGTTTGGGTTGGAAAGCTTGGAAAGGAAGCATTTGAGTATCCGAGTTTGCCATCCATCTCGGGATCTGGGGGCCTTCTATCCTCATGGGGAGGGCTGCAGCTATAGCGCGCGCGCTGTTTGCGCTTGGCGCTTGGCTTCTTCTCGTTTGCTTCGCCCCGTTCCTGTAGACCTAACTTGGTAGTCTCTACATCACACAAGAATCATTTCTGGACCATGGCCGCCCATGGCCCTGGTATACAAAAAATTGGAGATGTGACATGACATGGCCCTGAAACGTAGCTGGTTCTGACGTTTTTTTCTCCATAGGTACTTGGAGGCATGCGAAGTGGGAAGGTGTTCTAGCCATCTTGGGAGTCCACCTTCCCAGCTCTACAAGGTGTCACTAGTGCTCCCTTGGCCGATGTCTTTCTGACCACTTCCTTCAATGGGTCCAGCCTCACCGGCGTGGAGAGCTTGCGAAAACATCGGGCCACCCGGCGGTTGCTCACGTGGCAGCCGGAAGCGTTCAGAAGTCGTGGCGGCCAGTTTCTACAGCAAGTGCTGCTGGCGCGTCGCATGGTGCCGAATGGACATTGTTCTTGCTGCCTTTCGTTGATGTGAAGTGAATGAATTGGAAGCCTAAGTTAAGACAGATCATTAGCTGTGAAGCTTCGCCCAAACCCGTTGCTGGGGGATGGTCTCCACCATCCCTGGAAGGGATGACAATCCTCGTAGGAACCTACGGACCGATAGAGGTTGCCATGAAGGTGCCATGCGGTGGGAGATGGATCTAGGGTGTAGCCCATTTACCAGCAACAGTCCGTAAAGGCCTGCAGCCTCACCATCATCATCCACTGTTACTGGCAATGGGATATGCCCGAGATGGATCAATTATTCTAAACGAACGTAGCCTTTGGATGTTTTCAAACTCAAATGCAGGGAGGGTTGGGCCTGTCACCTATCACCAAGCACTATCACCAAGCACCTGTATTCACACAGATGGTGATCCGTGCCCATGTTTGGAACTAACGTGGCTTGGATGATTCCATTCAGGCCAAATGCGTTTGCAGCATGCGCTTCTGGTGCGGCTGCAAGGGAACTCCTTCTGCAGAGGAAAGGAGCAGGTGCAACACATCGCTTTGAGCCGATGTTTTCTCGTTTCTGAGGCTTCAACCTTCATTGATGATGGGGATTTGTAGGATATCTATTGGGGCGAGCTGCTGATCCAATCCTTGTCATACCCGCTTTGTCCAGTGTGTGCTGCTAGAGCAGGCAATCAAAATTGCATGCCCCGTTTGTGAACCATGGCTGCATCTCCTTGAAGGAGGCTTTCAGTCGCGGATCATGGGGGGATCAGGGGGGATCCTGATCGCGATGGGTTATTTATCGAAAGGGTCACCCGTCGGCAGGTGCTGTCCATCCTCCGGTTGTTCCACGAGCGGCCTGACGTCGGCATGGTGGTGAGCATGGGGGAGAATGAGATGATTGGAGACCGAACTGAACTGAACTGGTCATGTTGTATGAAATATGGATGCCCGTTCGGGCTGGAGCAGGTACGCCAGGTATGCAGTCACCTGTGGCAGGCCTGAAGAAACTGAGATGATTTGGGAGCAAAACTAAGGACATGCAGAAGACAAGTTTTGGACTTTGATGGAGTTGCCGGGGCCCGAAAAGCTCCAACGCGCCCACGACGAGTGACTTGATTCAAAGGTGACATGGACATGTTTCGACACTATCTGACTATCGAGCATATGTAGCCAGAAGCATGCGTGTGGAGACCGTTGACTGAGTAACTAGAACTAGGTGTGAAGCAGGCTGATGCAGGATTCACAAAGAGTTGGACCTTTCAAAGACGATTGATGCCTGGAGCTTGGAGGTCTTTCTAAATCCCTGGAGGTTGGGGGTTTCGACCGAGATTTCTTCTCAGTTGGCTTCCGCAAGCTGTTTTGAGGGTGGCTCGTTTGTTGGCCTTGATTTGTTTGTTGCTGGTGGGGTGAATAGAAGCAAGAGTTGTCCATCAGAACTGTTTGGGACGCTTTAGCGAACTCAGTTTTCCAGCAAGTGAATTGGAGAGCCACAAGATAAAAATTGATGCATTCTGATTCACCAACATGGAAGTGGACGTGCTCCATAGCTATACCCATCAACATGACAAGTCACCATATATACCATATATATATATATAGCTACCATGATGTGTCATTGATGCACATTCATGCACGGGATTCGTGGAACCGTGTATTTAGTCATCGTATGTCATTGTCTCTCTCTCTATATATATATACATATATATATATTATATATGTATGTATACCAGACACACTGCATGTTTGGCATATATATGGCATAATGGCATGTGCCTACATTGGAGCTAGTCTTAGGGGTCAATGTAGATGGACTGTTGGGGGTCGTCATGTTTCGGTCGAGGGCGACATCCCATTGATTGCCCTTGGCGATAGTGTTTGAATGACTGGATCTTCCTAAAGATACCTGGCTGAGGTTCTGGTCCCGATCGGCCTTGGCCTTTTGGACACGTTTGCAGGCGTTCGCCCCTCGCTTGCTGGCCGAGTTGGATGACGTGGATGTGGCCGTGGCACTGCTGGTGCCAAGTCTGGCCAGTCAGGAAGCTGAAGTCTATGCCATGCCAGGATGAGCGGTATGGAGTGGAGAAGGATTAAAACTGTGATTGAGAAGCATGAAGCTGCTGGAGTTATACGGTAGATGATCTTAGAGTTGCGGGCAGAAGCTCGCGTTTTGAACTTCTTCTTCATGATTTGGGGTCCAAGGACACCAGCACGTGCTTCAGCTTGAAGCAGCCGGCTTGAAGCAGCAAGATGCAGCCACCCAGATGCACCTCCTCGTGGGCAAAGTCGGCCAAGTATGGATCTTTCAATCCGAGCGAGAACCTCCTTCGGCTACGAACATCTTCGCTTCAGAAGCCAACACGGACCATCTTGATGCACCAACTGGCCGTTCTACGCTTCGACCACTCGGAGTGGCGCATGCCACGTGCGAAACCGCTGGCTGGATCGAACCTTTGCCCCGAAGGGCCCAATGAGAGACGAAGAACGTCTCAAGAACCGACGAACGACCCAAGTCGACCGGAACGAGACCGGAAGAAGGGCGAGAGAAGGTCACGTGCGAAGCCTGCAAGCGCGAACCTGGTCGGGGGAAGAGGATTGGCTTGGAACACGCATCCAGGGATGGGCAAATTCGACTCCCAGACGGTTATTCTATTTGATGGGGTGATTCACGTTTTCCTGTGTTCCGCAAAATGCTCCAGGGGTGGCATATATTCCTGCATAGACCTTTACAACCACCCTAATGAATACAACTATGCCACACATGGCAATGCTCGTGGAGCCAAATCGGTTCCACCAACATACGGACGGAGAGAGTTCGTGTCGCTCAGAAATCCTGGCCCTAGGGATTCTGAACTTGTTTCTATCAATTGAATGGTTGTCTACCAGAACCTTCCAACAGATGGTTTTTGGCCACCTCTTAACCTCTAAGAGGCTATTTATAGACACCTCTTGGAAGGTCCTGGTACTAATTAATTTTCAAGACCATAATCAAATGACCCTTCAGCCCGAAGGTTCTTTGATACACTAACGTCCTCATCACAAGCTTCGTCATTACAGGCGTACTCATTTTTGGCGGAAGTTGTCCTCGGGTAGAATATGGTAGAATTTGTCATCGCGTCCAAACCAGATTTGAATGGCACGAATGCATTTCCAAATCCTCGCTGTGAATAAACATGTCGAAACACAGGCAAGTTCAATGTTTTCGGCACCGCCCTGAGATCTAGCGTGTGGAGCGTCAAATGATACTAACTTCTGCAACCTTTGCAGTGGAGCTTGTTGGAGCTCCCCAACAGGTTCACACATAGCACCTTCTTGGGGACTTCCTGTTTTTTTGCACGCCAAGGCCTTGAGTCAATTGGATTCTGGCAGCATGGGGGCCCAGAGCCATTTGGGAATGAAGGATACAAAGGTGATCAAAGGTGCATGGGGAAAGTCCCCATGGCTTGGCCTAGAGTCACTACAGTGTTTAGGGAGAGCCCCTGGCCCCTAACTAATTAACCATCATATAGATTCATAGCATTGCATCATTCAGCAAGGCATAGCAAGATGTTATTGTTGCAGGTTTTAACTCCACATGATTTTTATTTGTATTTAAGATGCCAAATCCCGACTTTGGGTTGGGGAAGCATCAGAATCCCTGTCAAGTGAACACCAGGCATGGGTCCAGGCCAGCACAAGAGCATCAACATTGTGAAACTAGGTCCACATACTGTACCACCCTTCGGATTCACGAAAAAACAAAGAGAATGTGTGTTATTATGTTTGCGTTATTTTTTGTGGTGTTCTTTTTGGTTTCTCCCAACCGTTGTTGGAGACTGTAAAGGGACAAGCATGGACAAACCAAAGATGACGTTATAATACGTTATATAAGCATTGCATTAAGTTGAATTTTGGCTACATGTTACATAATTATTAAGTATAACATATATATATATATACACAAGACGCAAGTCAAGTCCTGTTGCTCTTGTTTTACTTGGTGGTCTTTGTGACTTGGCTTTGGGGGCATGCATGAGCAGAGCTGCTCATGCTCGACAACATGAATGACTCATTCATCATCAAGCATCCACAGCGTTTTTCGCCCAGACTCTTGGCCGTTGATCGACAGAAACAAAGTACGTATTCACCTTGAAGATCCAAATACATGGTTGTCGCATGGCAGTGTGGATCTTGGAAGTAAGCCCATGTAAGCCCGGGACCTTCAGTACGTGACCTAACTTGAGATCCCGGAGTGAGGTCACGAACAGGTCTTGAAAAGGTTACCAATCCTGAAGTTCGGTCACCGTCCTGGTATGTTCTTGCCAGATGAGGCGACGCAGTTCACGTTTTCTTTTCGGGGAGTCGCGGCTTGATCGAAAGCTCCGATATCAACTCATGTAGTAAGGGCTGATGGGGATCCCAGAATTGAACACAGGAGCACTCTCCAACAGGCAGTTTGTGGTTCTTGGGGGGACTGCGATGCGAAGCCGGAGCTCGGTGCTGCTGGTCATTGGCGCTTGGAGCTGCTGCTTTCTTGGAGGCTTGGGGCTGTGAGCTGGTTTCCATGTAAGATGAACAGATATGACGTAGACAACAGTCGATAAAAAAGATTATCACGATTTTTGAGAAAGTCCTGTTACCAGTCATCATCATCCACTCTCACAGGGAATGGGGTGCACCCAAAAGATTAACAAGATCAACCAGGTCCACAAGGTGACATCTTTGTTTAAATAGATGTGTTTCACACACGCACAAGTTGCATGGTGATTCTAGGTTGCTTCTATATAGTGCAGGGATGTGCAGGGTGGGGGCCCGTGCATGTGAAGTGCTGGACAACTCCTTCAGTCGTGGTAGAGACCAGCATGTGAAGCTCTCAGATCTTGGACAGGAGACCAGCACCTAAGGACCTACAGCACTTTTCACATATCCCTGCCAGACACTCCATGGGACTGCCATATATGCTTACATTGGGGTGGTGCCAGGGAGGTATATGGCATGCATGGAGTGTTTGGGTAGTGTTACCCACCAACGATTGGAGTATATGTGTTTGTAACAATCCACCACTGCACATGTTACGAATACCTCAGCTCAAAAGTTCTTCGGGACTCCACATTGACCAGCTGCTGTTAGCATGTGCTAGGTCAGCACGTGCTTGATCAGCGGTGGTGCAAGGTCATAGGAGTGTTAGCTGACTCTTGCAAGGACTATGATTCACGGCTCGCCAGTTTTTTCTCACGCCTTTTAACTTCATGTTGATTACACTCAACCTACAGTATGGTCAGAAGCTCACCATTTCTTTGTGAATCACAGGTCTTTTGGGATTGCCGTGAGGCCACTTCCAAGCCCATACATATCCCCTTGGTGTATAAATCAGAAGCTTAAATCCCTCGACAATTCCTGCCATTCCGCAACTACGAAGGTCATTCGCGCAAACTACCAATGATCCACAATGCAGGTTACCCATTCGCCCCAAGAACATGACATGACCCAACTTAGCGCATGAGTGACGCCTACACTGTGAAAACTCTTGTAAACTACTTCAGAAATCCTGTGGGGTCTTCCTGCTACCAATCCTTTTTCCAGGCCACCTCTCGCCGCGCATATGCCGTGCCGCTTGCGCCCTGAACGCGGCGCGTTCGGCTGCGGCGCGTGCCTCCCGGCGGCCCATGGAGATGACGCCTGGTGGCAACGGGTCGCGGAGCGGGGTTCCGCACTCTAAGAATTCTTTGTTGTTCCTTGTAATTAGCTCTCTGACGACGAACCAACGAAAGGGACGTGTGTTAATTGCGACGGAAACGAGTGTATTTCCAAACAGTAGTGTTATTCCTACTTGTCTAGTGTGTTTTTTGCACTTGTCCAAACTTGAGGTGTTTTGTGCGTCGATTCTTTCCGCGAAATTACAAACAGTAGTGTTATTCCTACTTGTCTAGTGTTTTTTGCGACAGTGTGCTTTTTGCGCCGGTCCTACCTCCAAGGTGTTTTTTGCGCCGGTCCTAGCTTCAAGGTGTTTTTTGCGCCGGTCCTAGCTTCATGGTGTTTTGTGCACCGATCCTAGCTTCAAGGTGTTTTTTGCGCTGGTCCTAGTTCCAGGGCGTTTTTTGCGACAGTGTGTTTTTTGCACCTCCAAAGTGTTTTTTTGCGCCCGTCCTAGCTTTAGGTGTTTTTTGCGCCGGTCCTATCTTCCAGGTGTTTTTTGCACCGATCCTAGCTTCAAGGTGTTTTTTGCGCCGGTCCTAGCTCCAGGGTGTTTTTTTTCGCCGGTGTGTTTTTTGCGCCGGTCCTAGCTTCAAGGTGTTTTTTGCGCCCGTCCTAGCTTTAGGTGTTTTTGGTGGCTTGTCCAACCAAAGCAATAACACCGTGGCAAAAAAAAATCGTTGCAAAAAACACGTCGTCGCAAAAAACACTCCTTGAACTTTTGATGGCGCAACGAACTCCACGATCACTTTTGAAAAACATTTCGGCCTACCGTCGCAAAAAACGCCGGTTTCCGTCGCAATTTACACGCAGCCGAAAGGCTCGCTGGGTTTTCTATGGTTTTCTCCAATTGATGCTTTGGGTTCATGTGATGGTTACAGTGAGATTGCTTGCAACTATACACCATAAACATCCATAAATGGCGTACTTGCATGTGATTACCCGAATTTCCGCCATAAACCGTTTGTCCTTTGCAGTGCTTGTCCTTTTCCATTGGATGTTCTGTCGAAGAAGTCTCCTGTCCCTCGGTCACACCTGATCCTTCCGATCGGGTGGACTTCAGATGAGTCCCGGGGAGACAGGGCGGGTTTCTGGTGGTGTTTTGACCTGTTCATTCACCGACTGCACCATGGAAGTTTAGATTTAGTTTGATCATGTCCATGGAGTCCATTGTTGGTACCTTTTTTGAGATCTTTTCATCTCAAGGGTGGTTTGTACATGTTTGTACCTTTTCATTCACGACTGCACCATGGAACATTGTCCATGTTCCACATGTTTGTTAGATATGTTGTTCAAGCGTTTGCAGTCCTCGCCAGGTATATTTTGACCATCCCGGAGCTGAAGGGGGCAGAAATTGTATGGCTCCCCAGATCTGCGAAGATCGGATCACCCGGGGTAACCCGCGGAGTGAAAGCAGCAGGGCTCCAGGGGGTTCCCAAGGTCCAGGGGGTAGAGAGATCCGCGACTCAGTATCCGGCATACATATTGAAACACTTTGGGAATCCTTCAGGGATACATAGGGCAACAATAAAGGTTGTTCGGTGGCTTTGGTATCGGCCCCAACTCAGATTGTGGTCTTCTAGAAGGCACGACTCTCCTTCATGCACATGGAGACCTTTCTGTCGACGTTCAAACCCACTATAGGTCACTGCAACAGCTACAGTACACATCATCACACTGAGTTCCCTGAGTGCCATGAGACCTGAAGACCTTCGAAGACCTTCGTATCTCTGAATTCGACTCCAGACGCCCAAGGCCATATGCCCCTGCCCTGGCAAGAGGGAGCGCGAACTGGGAGCAACGTCCTCAGGAACGGACACAGGCCTGGACTAGGCTGGGTACGTTGCCTGGCTTAGCCAGCCAGGCCTCGAAGT